CCACCCACACTACCCGAAAGTCGAGTTACAAGTCATCTAGTTTGCTGCAAATGTATATTTTTGAGGTAAGGTGGGTTACATTTCAAAAGCTACATGATGTGCAGGGTCTAAGTTACTTTCCTGGTGTAAAGAGCAATGTTTTCTAGCTACTTTCAAAAGATTCTTAAGGGCATTTGAAGGCATTTTAGCACCATTCTTACAGGAGTTTTTTAAAAAAAAAAACCAATTATATGCATTTCTCTTACCAGTCCAAATGAAGGCATTTTAGCAGCATTCTGACAGGAGTTTTTTTTTTTAAAAAAAATTATATGCATTTCTCTTACCAGTCCAAACTCCCTCTGTTCCAAAAAAGAATGAAAATCATCATCAACAACAAAACAACAACAACAGCAACAACAACAAAATAACTAGTCCATCGAGTAATGCAACAAGTTACTTTTTAAATATTGTTCAGGATAGTAACAGTGGGGTACAGCAACAACAACAAAAGGAGTAATAACTACTCCATCGAGTAATGCAACAAGTTAGTTTTAAAATATTGTTCAGGATAGTAACAGTGGGGTTACTTTTCAAACCATGCAACAAGTGAGGAGAACAAATTACTTAGGGTAACTATTCAGTTACCGTGAATAGTTACCCTAAGTAATTAAGTACTGTAATAGTTACCCTATTTAATAGAAAAGTTCAGGCTCTGGTAGGGAAAGATCTTTCCTGTTCTGTGCTACTTGGTTCTGGGTTCAATCCCTTTTAATAGGGATTGAACCCAGAACTCCGGAGCGTCCCAAAGAGCCATTTACCCCAGAAGGAATGACCGGCTTCCTCCATCATCTTAAATCGAGAGAGAATGCAAGATCCTGGAGGCACAGCCGCTCACCTGAAATGTCTCCCCAAGACACGTCCGCAGGAGGCGGGCTGGCGTTCACCTCATGGGCCCCCGGAGACGGCACCTTGCAAGCGGCCAGCTCGGGATAGGCAGAGTCCTCGTCCAGCATAACAACAGGGCTGGCGGCCAATCTCGACTCTCCGTGACCGGCCGCTGGGTGACGCGGGGAGGCCGCCAGGGGCAGATAAAGCACACTCGGCTTCTTGGGGACGGGGGGTGGGACTTTGGCTTTACGACTCTCCCTCCTGGGGGTTCTCTCCGCCGGAAGTGTGGGCTTCATCGTCTCCTCCTCTTCCTCCAGGCTGTCTTCAGAGAGACGCCGCACGGGGCAGAAAAACGCCCCCGGGGAGGGCTGCGCGGGGGAGGCCGCTCCCACCGGAGAAGGCGACTCCACAGGGCTCCAGGCCTCCGTGTCCCACCGAGGCTCAGGCCTCCGGGCCACCATATAAATGTTCTCCACAGGGATGCCTCCTTGGGGTGTCCGGGGAGAGGTGGGCGAGCCCGTGGGAGACTCCTCCTGGACCGGCGGGGTCTTGTGCAAGAGCATGGGGGGCCTCCGCGAGAGGGGCGGCTTCTCGGCCACCGGCGGTCGGACCTTCTTCCCAGGCTCTTCCAGGGGTTCAGGGCTCTCTGGGTTGTCCTCCGTCTCCGAGCGGCTGACGGAGCGCAGGCGGATGGAGCGCAGGTCCAGCTGCGTCACCATGGGCATGACCGGCTGCACCGGGCTAAGCTTGGGGACCAGCTTGACTCCAAAGGTGGAGTCCGAGTGGTGCCGGCTCACTTTGGCTTTGCCCTTGCGGGAGATTTTCAAGCCCGAGAGATCCAGGTGAGCCTGGGGTGCGAACGGCAAGTCAAACGAGAGCTGCGATTTGGGGCTGCGCTCCATGGGCGAGAGCGGGGGCAGCGAGGACTTGCGCTCGGGGACAAGGGGCCTCCTCCGCCCGCCCTGGTGCGGGGTGTGCCCAAGGACCGCGGACGTCGGGACAGTCGGCGTTGGTGTTTCCGACTGACTGGAGTAGCCGCTGGAGGGGGACATGACTCCCGTCGGCCTCCCCGGGGAGGAGGATTTCAAGAACACCTCCGCTGAAACCTGGGATGGTGTGGTAGCCCGGGAGATGGAGGGAGAAGGCAGGGACTCGGAGCTCCCGCGCGGAGCCTTGGACAACTCGATCACGGTGGTCCCGGTCGCCGTGCTAGAGCCCGACAGGGAGCAATAGGGGTCGCCGGACGCCCACTCCGGCATATACCACTGCTGAGTATAGGGCACGCCTTCCAGCTCCTGAGGCGCATCTCCGCGGTCTTGGCGGTGGACCTGGGCTTCGGGCAGCAGACACAGGCTTGTGGGCCTCTGGTCTTGAGGCAGGGCCTCGCTGTCGGGCTCTGCCTTGCTGCCTTGCTCTTCTTTGATCAACGAGACACTGCGGATGGGCGGGCAGGGCTTCTTCCTGGCCTTCTTGAGAGAGATGCTCTTGAGGCGCTGGCGACGCTGCTTGGTTTGAGCGTCCTGCTCCACCGCCAGGGAGACGTTGTCTGTGCTGGTGCTGCCCTCGGAGCTGGCGCTGGGGTAGCTCAGGCCACAGGTCTCGCTGCCCCCGATGTCCACGGAACACAGAGACACCGTGTCCGTGGGGACAGAGAGAGACCTCTCGCGGAACCTGGACGCCACCCGGTCCTTCTCTGGCGGGGGAACGTCTCCTTCGCCCGCGCTGATGAAGACCAGACTCGCCTTGACTTCTTTCGGCCCCCCTTTGGAGCCTTCTTCAGCCTCCGTGGGTGACTTGGGTGGAGCACAAAACATCCCGTTCCCATGGCTTCCGACCCCCTGTTCGTTGTCAATGAAGAAGGAGGCGGGTCGGTCGGAGTCTGGCGTTCCCCTCGGGCTGCAGGGCGCCAGCTGGGCTTGGTTCTCCCCCATCAGCTCGCCTTGGCTGGCCGAGGGGCTCACGTAGCCGAAAGAGGATGCGCTCCAAGCAGGGGAGAAGACCGAGTCTTCCTTGGGGCCGTTGCACGATGGGCTGGCGTACACGACCCTGGGATTCTCCAGGTGCCCCGTGGGCGCCAGGCAACACCGTCCCTGAAGGACTCCTCCTAGGTCACTGAAAGTCTTTCTCAGCTGGGGGCGCGGATGAGGAGACCGGGTCTGGTGGGCGGCGCTCCTCCCGTTGGCCACGTCAGAAACGAAATGGCAAGAAACCGACTCTGTCACAGTCGCTGGAGGGTTGAGAACAGGACCGTTGCTGTTGCCTGGAGGAGAAACGGAAAGAGGAGAGTGAAGCGGAAAACACCTACCAGCATGGCCACTGGCTGGTCTTAGGAGCTGTGATTTAATACTACTTTTAAAAACAACAACACACGTTAGGTGGCACTCCAGTTGGAGAACCGCTAATACTTTAAAAATATATTTTTTCAAAAAAAAATTATTTAAAAATACAACATGTATTATAAATTATTCTTTTAAAAAGTAACCTTTCAGATCGGCCTTACGGGACAAAATCTACAACACAAATTCTTCCAATTCTGTATTTGATTATGAAAATGTATGTTCTACCAAACCAACTGAATTTTCATACTCCCAGTTAAGGATCCTACTGCTCGGTGCTGTAATTTGGCCCCACCGTGAGTACGTCACTAATTGCACGCGCCACAATTCTTTCAATGGAGATTTGAGGCCAAATTAAACTGTGCCGTGTCGCCACACCGGAGTCATGCGGGAACCAATCTCGGTTCTGCATCCACCCCTTAGCTCTCAAGCCATGCCCTCTGGACTCCGCTGACAAGAGAGCGGTACCAACCCCCCTGTTGCGGTTTTTACCTTGGTCCCGCAAAGACAGGTGAGGGAAACCAATGACTGTCCGTCTCCGCCGCAGCAAAGATTTGGGGTTCATGGCTGTCTCGGTGTTAAAGAGGGAATGGCGTGCACTTGCGTGCCTTGCAAAGGGCTGTCCTGTAGCCAAGACAAAGAAAGACACATGAGAGTCCAAGTAAGCAGCAGGGAATCCTGGAGGATGGCTGGGACGACCCTGGGATTCTCCAGGTGACCCTGGGATTTTCCTGCTGTAAACTGACAACCCCTTCGCAGAACACAGCTGACTTTGCAATTCACAACTTGCCATGACAGTCCACGGTACAGCCTTACACCTGAATGCAGATCACAAGCTCCCTTCCTGTTAGACCCTGAAAGATGACAGAGATCAGTAGCACCTGTGCTCTCTAAGACCAGGGGCAGCCTTGCAGCGGTTAGAAGACGAGGAGGAAGCGAGAATAACTGAATAACACGAATAGGAGAGCATATATGCAGAGGTCAGTATGAAGCAAAGTCAGCCAAGTTATGGAGGCAGGACTTCGAAGACCTTGCCCAACAGGATCTGTTACACATGTGTCAATGTGCAATGCGAACTCCTTCACCAAAGCTCCTGCCGTGTTCGGCCTTCCCGGGCATCTTGCGTGCCAATCCCTCTCTTGCTGGCTCAAGTCTCTTCGTCTTTGTGACCTCCCCTCCATCTTGCTACCTAGTCTAATTCAAACAGTACCACCACTTAAACTCCCCGTCCATCTCGCATATTCCCACGCCCCCATCCCACCGTCAACCGTACCAGAGACGTTGATGGGAACAATGTTGGCTTGCGTTGAACAGGGTGGGTGCGCTTGCTTCTCATCCAGAGACGGCAACAGGCTGGCTTGGGCCCAGGACGTGTTCCTGTCTGGAGTGGGCGGTAAGCTGAGTGATGGCTCCAGGGCCCTGACCCCCAACGTCGTGCTCTCCTTCTCATTCACTTGCTGGCTTGAGGGCTGGGCAGCGGCGAGGGGGAGAGAATCATGAAATCAGCAGCAAGCTTGTGTGTTTCAAGTCAGCATCTTAGACAGCTTGGAAATGTTACGTTTTGGGACTACAGGTCCGATATTTCCCCAGCCAGAACAGTTACGGGCTGCAGCTGTATGCTCCCAAAAGCAAAATCTCCCAGTTGTGCCTTTTTGTTTTAAGTTAGGAGTTTCCCCACCACCACCACCACCACAGCAAACCCCCTCCATTGTGGGCATTCCCCCCCCTCAATTTATGCAATGTTCATAACATTTGGAAAGATGTTCTTTTAAAAAAATACATTGTTCCCATTATAGTGTTTGAAATGTAGCCTGCTATAGTTAACTTGTAGTACGCTTGTCGAAAAATCAGTTGCTTACACTGCTTGTCACATACGGCTTGTTACCTGTCTGTTCCTTTTTGCTACACCTTTCTTTTGGTGGAGACCCCAAAACCTTATGGTTGGTAAAGAGACTCGTATAAAAATGAGGGGTTCCCCGACACACACACAAAATGCTTTTCAAAACGGGTTAAAATGTCCTTTTAACTCATCAAACTAACTAGAAAAAGTTGTTCATTTCACAAATAAAGAAGTTCGTACCTGCTAACTCACCTTTGAAATGTAACCTTTATTACACCCTTATTACCCGCAAAATAGCTACCTATACTTAACTACCTTACTAGTCACTTGTGGGTTTGGGCTCCGAATCCTAGTTCAAGGTCAGAGCCACACGTCAAAGCCTCGTCTGCAGCATGAGTAGTTTTGGGGCCTGCTGGTAATGGTTTTGACGAACTGCGCGAAAGCTTGAAAACACCGTCTTTTCAGACTACAGCTCCCAGAATCCCCAGCCGGTATGCTGGGTGTAGGATTCTGGAGGCTGTCATTCCAAAATGTGTTTTTTTCCCCATGCTCTCAATAAGACGACCATCAGTGGCTTCCCATGTTCCACCACCTGCAACATCTCAGGCCAAAGGAGGTGGTCTGGAGCTTAGATACCCGACGAGTATCACATTTTAAAAACCAGGCATTTCCCACAAACTGGGAAATCATCCGATCCACACTCACCATGAACACAAACTCCAGCCGTTTGGCTGATGGGGGCCGGGGGCTGCAACCCAGAGGCCTGTCTGGAGAGACGGGGCTGGCGTACCGAAAGGTTTGGCCGCTGACCCGGGCTTCAGAATACGGTTCTTCATACTCCTCTGAAAGGCAAAGAGGGAAATGAAAGCAGCCTGATCAGCACAGCACTTACCTCCCCATGCAGAGCTAGGAAAAGGTAGTATTTTGGACTACCGGTTGGGGGGATTCTGGAAGCCACAACCCAAAACATAACTTTTCTATCTCTGACATAGCGCTAGACTCAGATAATGAGGCAGCTATTCCTAAGTGCCAGCCTGTAGCCATCACATTCCCTTCTTCTCAATACACTTCTGCTGGCTCCAGAGCTGGCCCTACCATACTGCTTTAGGTGGCTGATGGGGTAGGCAGTACCAGCAGCAAAACGCCCCCCCCCGGGTTGTTCCACCCGACTTCCCTAGCCTTCTGCCTGTGTTGAAAAGCCCAAGCTTGGTCGGTGAATCGGGTGGAACATAGTAATCCTAGTAAGTAAGCTTCAAGGAAGTTTGAATCACTAGGCCAACCTTCTCTTGGGCAAGGCGTATCTTCCTTCTTTCCCATAAGCAGCAAATATGTTGGCCATTGCTGGAATCTAGATCTAGAGAGGCGTTTTCTCCCAGTCAATGTTTCTTGAAGCTCACTCCATGAAGTGGGGAATCAGAGCTTGAAGAAAAGAAAGTGTAAAGTACCCCAGGGCTGGTCAATCTGAAGTCTTCATACTATTAGCAGTCATAAAGGCCAACACCCTTCCCTTTTATGACCAAATAAGACCGGTCCTTCCCGTGGAAAGTAATTTATAATCCCAAGCAGTAACTTTTCTAAGTTCTCAGAGAAAACACCCTGACCTCGTAGGTCAGTCAGACATTCCCTAGGGATAACACATCCAAGTGGGGGAAATCTCATCTTCAATTCCCTGTCTGACAGATACCCCACACGTACCTTGAAGCAAGCTCTGGAGATTGAGTTCAGCTTCATGGTGCAGCTCCTCCACACCTACAGGCTTGGCCAAGAAGATGTTTGTAGGCTGGTGCCATAAGAGCTTCGGGGGAGTGGGTTTCTTGACTTCGGGGTCTACGTTAGAGGTGGCTGGAAAGAAAAGACACAGCCAGAATCAAAACACACCCCACAACCAGGCTGGATGGGAGTGAGGGCATCTTTTCCCCACCAGGCACCTTGTAGATGAGCTGGACTACAAATCCCATTACTCTCAACTGGCATATCTAGAGGTCATCAGGTGGCAGACAGCTGGATGAAGGGACCTCTTGAGAGGTCTTGAGTCCTGTTTGCCTTGTATGTGCCAAGAACAGGGGCAGCAAGACTAAAAATGTTTGGAAACATACCACATTTTTCTGTGTATAAGACTATACTTTTGTCTAAAACCTTTAGACTAAAAATTGAGGGTTGTCTTATACACGGAAGTAAGCTGAGGAGAGAACAAAAGCAAGTGGAGGGGAAAGCAGGGATCAAAGCGATCCTGCAGCGCTTTGATCCCTTTCCCCCCACCCGTGCTAAGCCCCGCTTAGATTTCTTAATTTTGGATTAGAAAAGTGGGGGTGGGGCGTCTTATACATGGGGGTGTCTTATACATGGAAAAATACGGTAGCGTATAATCTCACGAATAATACATGACCCATTCAGGCAGCAGATTTGGGATGTCGCTCATGACATGACAGCAACTTCTTCACTGTTTGCTTTTTTTATTATTGCATTTTTACTGCCAGATGGGGGCGCTTGTGAGCGGCTCCTGCTTCAGAGGTCAAAATAACTTCCTTGATTCTCCTCGAGAACTTTGCGCCTTAACTTTGACAGTTGGGGGGGGGGCTTCGTTTGCCAATCTGCCACGGACAGCACAATATCCTGGACAGAGCCTGCTTAGAACAGCAACCTTGAAATGCCACCATCAGCCATGGAAGAAATGCATCCATCAACCGCTCTTTCTTTAATGCATAGGATCCCCCCCCAACAGCGTAGCCACACTCAAAATGGATGATGGAAGCTGTAGTTCAGATTCACTTGTTTTTTTTCCTGTCCGGGGGCTAACATAGATTATTAAAAGCAGGACAAGCAACAGGGCAGACACGAGATTGTAGAGCTATCTACCAGTGTAACCAAACAGGTTCTTCAGAGAAGATTCCTCGGTGGGGTTTCACTGTGCCAGGGGAGCTACTGGTTAGAAAAATTACATTTGTCGGCCTCAATGCTCAGTCTTTTCCAGATGATGTTCCCAGTTGAACTACCATCTGGTGCGGTTAGGATTCCGGTGCCCACATGTTTTTTAAAAAATCCAAATAACTTAAATACCTTACTTGGACATTATCTGTACTGGAAAGATCCCAGTCATACGAATTATGTAAATATCTGAAGACATGACAATTCAGTATCTTTCATTTCCCTGGTATTAATCAGACCTGCCGATTCGGGGACTGAAAAATGTTGACATCCTAATTTCAGCGAACCTGAAAAGAGGTTCACATAAAAATGCATGCTTCTTAGGGGCAGGAACCAGAGGCCAGTTAATCACAACTCTGATTTTATATATATATCCATTCCAGCAGTTCAATCTGATTTCTATTGCATTCTTTCTATTCAGTCACAAACTGGTTTGATGAAACAATGCCCATCCTTTTAATAAAAACACACACACTGAGAGAGAAAAATGTACCAGTAGCAGAAGCATTATTTCATTGGAGAACTATCCAACTTATATCTATACATCAACATTACAAAGAAGCTTCCCATTTATTTTAAATCAGACCTGCTGAAAATCTAAAGGCAGTGCTCTCTAGATATGTGCCCAACAGCATAGCCATGCTCAAAATGGATGATGGAAGCTGTAGTTCAGTTCATCCAGAGAGCATCGGGTTAAGGAAGTGAGCTAAAGACCTCCAATCAAAGCATCTCATTGTCCTCAACTCCCCACCACCACCATGAATAAGTTGGACACCCAACCTTTTCCCCCCCCCTGCAGTTTAAATTGCTGTAAAATTCTTAATGGGAGTGGTCGGCCAATTCCGTCCTAAGAAGATGGTCCCCATTCGTTTGGAGGAAAGAATTCCATCAGTTTTCCCAGAGGCTGAGGATGTATCTGAACAAGGAAACCAAACATCTGTACTAAGAAAACAGTTCATCGTCTTGCATGCATCATGCAAACCATAATCTATGCATCGTTTATGCTATTGGGCTAGACAGTGGGAATTAAAAAGAGAGGTGCCAAGTGTTAAGACTCTGGGGACCTCTGCTGGATCAGACCACAGGCCTGTCAAGTCCAGCATTCTCTGTCCCTACAGTGGTTTACAGGAGATCCCAATGGGAAGCCCATAAGCAGGAGCTGTGGGTACCACCATTTTGCTCATGTTCCCAACAAGTGGCATTCACAGGCAAACTGCTTCTCCTCGTGAAGCTCATATACAGCCAGTCATGTCTCGCAGTCATTGATCATCGTATGCGCTACGATTCCGTCCCCTTTGAAGCCATCCAAGATGGCTGATCTTCACCAGGTCTTGTGAAAGGGAATCCAAACGTTTAAAAACAGCTCGTGTAACAAAGTACCTCCTCTTATTTGTGCTGGACTTCCACCATCCAGCCATGCTGGATGACCTCGTCTTTAAGTATTGCAAAAGAGACATTAAAGCCAAAATACTGGACATCCTATGATTTCACATGAGTCCCAACCCATATGAGGGCTTTAAAGTTGGGCAGATGTAAAGAATGAATGAAACCCTTCAGTTAACTAGAGACAGGGGAAAATTTTCATTTCAGTTTGTTTTCTACAAATTTCTTCATATTCAGAATGGAAATAATTTAGGAGAATAACTCTGGTGTGGGAGAAACCAAACAGAGAGATTAATTTATCAAAGCCCACAGCTTTCAATTTTTAACGCTTAACGTGAAAGCTTGAAGTTGAATATATATGGAAAGGAGGGGCATCATAGTCTTCTCCATCTGGGAACACACGTGCCAAATGAATTTTGTGCATGAGTAAAAATGTCACGTCGTTTCATTATTGAAGAATTTAACAAAACTCTGAGGTCACATATGGGATACAGAAAGGACATGGTGCGGTTGGTTGCTTTTTGTTTTGTTTCGCTTTCACAAAATTCAAATGCAGCCAGAAGTGTTGACTTATTTTATCATCCTTAGTTGTTACCCCCACGCTTGTCAAATACAGCTGTAATACAAGAACGGTGCAGCCTTTCTTTGCTCCAACCTGTCCTGTTCTCCTGCCACCGTTTGTTCATATTCTCCGATTTCTGGACATCAAAGGCACACTTATATCTCTCTCCCCCCTCCAACACTTGGTTAACAGGCTCCATTGCCTGCCAGATCCTTCAACAACCAAGCAAACAGCAGTATGAATTGGCCCTAATTGTGTCTCGTCACGATGGTGGGAGTGAGCTTTTGTACATGTTTCCAAAGAACCCAGAGGGTGAGATGCGGAAAGTGGGTGAGATAATCTATCCAGGGTTGTGACACGTGTGCAAAAGACCAGCCCACAGAAACCCCAGGGACAGCTCAACCTAATCCTTGTTGTGGAATGTCAGCAGCAACACGGAGGGAGAAAGCATACCCCACTTCAAACCCACATTACCTGACTGGCAATCCCTCTGATCATGCTGAATGATATAATCAACAGTTTTGGAAATAGATGCTATCCATACGCTGATGCCACCTAGTTCTATTCTCCTTGTGACTGGCGATGCTGTGCAGGCGCTGGATGAGGACTGATAAACCAGAGCCGAATTCCCTAGGTCAGAGTCTGTGGTTGGACGGTTCCCATGCCCAGGAGTTGGATAGGCAACCTGTCTTGAATTGGGGTTGCACGCACATCCCTTGGTCGAAAGGTACAGGTGCATAAATAGCGTCGGTCTCTGCAGGCGGACTCTTGTAGTTCAGTGTGCCTGGGCCAGCTATGATAATTCATGTACAGGTATAACTTGGCCATATTAATGCGCGCACTGGTAATAAGAGTGACAAACTCAGGAGATCTGGTCTTGACTCCGAGCTCAGCCATAGAAGTCACAGCGGGTGGGAGGCTGGCAAAACCACTCCTTAAATACAGTGGTGCCTCGCTTAGCGATGTTAATTGGTTCCAAAAAAACATTGCTATGGGAAAACATCGCTAAGCGAAACACCATGTCCCATAGGAATGAATTGAAAACCGGATAATCCGTTCCAATGGGAACGGATTACCGTCCTTAAGCGGAAATCGCCATAGGAAACATCGCTAAGCAAAACGTGGTTCCCCCATTGGAATGCACTGAATAGGTTTCAGTGCATTTCAATGGTTTTGACAGGTCCATTTTTGCTATTTTTAAAGTGTCTTAAAAAGTTCAAAAACTGTTTTAAATGCTTGGTATCGTTAGTGCACCTTGTAAAACCTTTGCAAACTTAATTTGGCTTTGTTCTGACTCTTTGTTAATTGTTGGTGAATTCCCCCCCCCCATTGGAATGCATTGAACTGTAGGTTTGACAGCCTTCTTTCACCATTAAAAGCAATATCAGTCCCATGACCCTCACAGGGGTGGGAACGTGGCAGAGGGCTTTCTCTGTGGCTCCTCCCTGACTTTGGAACTCCCTTCCACAGGCGGCCAGACTGGCCCCATCCTTGCTTTCCTCCTGAAAACAGATGGATACGCTTTTTCTTCAGGCTGGTTTTCCTTTAAAGGACTGGTTGACCAAAGGGATTTTTCTAAGAGATTATTTCATCCTGTTACTTTGCTTGTGTTTTTAATATTGCTCTTTTTATGAACTTTTCATATGATGTCTGTTTAATGCTTTTTAAATATTGTAATAATTTATTATTTCGCTTTTAACTGTTTCTTTTAATACTGTACGCCGCCTTTAAGAAAAATGAAGGAGGGAAGGAAAGAAGGAAGTGGATACACGAAGAAGGGAAGGAAAGAAGGAAGGAGTTGACTCATCAAATCCCTACTGATTCAATGGGCCTATTCTAGTGCAAAAGCAACAGACTTTCGGCTGATATATATTAATTGCTTGGAAGTATTTCAATTGTATTTGAAATACAACTGGGACGCGGTGGCGCTGCGAGTTAAACCGCAGAAGCCTCTGTGCTGTAATGTCTGCGG